TCTACTGTTTATTACTTATATTCATGAATTAAACAAATACATTTAAACGTTGAACAATCTTCATCTTCGTTAGATCAAGATATGGATACAAAAAATGATTTGATAATGATGAACAAATCGAGTAAGTTCTAGTTTATTCAATACAATAAAGAGCTTATTCAGATGCAGAACAAAATATAGATGTCTGAGTATTTTACAGAAACCCACCAGAGTACTCACTCATGAGTTCTCGCGGCATTTTCTAGCGTGAGTACTTTTTGAATACTCGCTGGGTGAGTACATTCACTAGGGTTAACAACTCTGCATTCCTTTCTGTTCGATTTCGGCAAAGCTTCTCTGTAACACTCTGTGATGGGGACATAGCTGTCTGTAACTGTCTGCGTGGGGGTGGGTGGGTGCAAATTTCTACCTAAACACTTCAACACTTCCTTCAGGTCGTGTTTCACAAAATACATTCTATTTTATAGTTCGTGAACGGTTAAAAGGCAATGACGATGCTTAGAAGCAGTACCTTTTAGCGTTTTTATTATGAATATGAGCTACGGACAACGCTTTATCGGTGGTTAAAAAATCAACCAATTTGACGTAAACATGAAGGAGATTTTCAATTTTTTCTTGTTCAGTGACGTTTGAGACACCCTATATAGGTCGTTATCCAAAAGCGGATACACCAAATGTGAATACCCTATATGGATAACCTTAAGTAGCATTGGGAAACAGTCATTACCGGGTGCAACGGTATTATGGCATCACTCGATTTTACGCAAATAAAATTGACTTGAATAATTCTAACCACAAATAGATTACAGGTGTGCAACATTTTTTTATTTCAATTATGTGAGCCAGTAATAATTGGCAGAATTTGATCAATAAATTAACACAATACTTTAAACAAAAGGGGTGGTATATATTATATATTTATTCTCATATAATAGGGCTAGTGAGCATTAGTATTGGTAGCATAAACTATGATTAAGGTTTCCAAAAAAGAAATTTTACGTTGACTCAGCTGTGAACTTAGGTCGTGTTCCCATTCAAAGGAACGGAACGCGAACGCGACACACCTAATTCCAACTACTCTTTGGTCTCCACCCCGGGACTGGTTTTGTTAATACTTATGAAATTACTTTTTTATTTCATAAATTGAAATAAACTGTTTGTGTTGAGTGTTATGATTGAGTATTCCAGTGAAAATATTAGAAAGAAAACAATTTCTTGAACAGAATGGCATGTTGCGTCATGCATAGTTGATTATCGATCTGTCATATTCCATCTAATATGAATACCTTGCGCACTGAATTCTTTCTTTGTCATCATTTTTCGTCTACTCAAAGGTGAATTTTTACATTGTTGCTATGTATAATCCTTCTTTCTAGCAATCATATTTAAAATCAACTT